GCGATAGTTGCTTTCATATGTTTTAATCATTTCCTCCAAGATTGTATTATACCTTTCTGTAGATGTGCATAGGTTCACAAATGTGCAGAGAGAGAGAGAGAAGATGCTAGAGTTCAGTTAGAAGATGCTAGTGTCAGGGCGGGCAGATGGTGTGCTGGTTAATGGTTCTGGACTCCCACATGGCCGACCATGGTTCAAGTCCCGGACCTGGAAGCTTGCTTTCTCACTTTCCTTCTCTTTCTCTCCCACTCTGTCTCTCTCTGGTCCGATTAAAATAAATAAAATAAAGTTAAATACAATAATTCTTTAAAAAAATAAAGAAGAAGAAGATACTAGTAGTGTTCATTTGGCTTACTGGAGCAGGAACTACCAGGAAAAATTTTGGGGTTAAATATAGAGAGCTCAGGGCAACTGGGTAGTCAATTGAAATAGGGGTCAAAGGCAGTCTGTTCTATTTTCAGGACCAATAGGCCAGTGCTGTCAATGTATTTTACAGGCTCCCAACATAATCCAGAAGAAGGAAATATCTCCAGCTTTTTAAGGCATTGGTTTCCTTCCCTTGTGTTACATACTTTTTCCTTAGATTGATTTGGGTATGCATCAAAGTGATATTTAAAGTTGAATGAGTAAACCAGCTCTTTGGAGCAGTGGAGATTATAAAATTATGGTGTCATACACTTTTTTTCCTCCTAAAATAATGAAATGTGGCTTACATTGAATTTAGGATTCACTTCTCATTTTGATTTTTTATTGGAAATGACTGACATTAAGTTCTAAAATTATTAGCCATTCTTAAAATGTATCTGTGATGATAAATGGTTTTTAAATTCCACTTATCCTGTGCCAGGAGACTTGGAAAAGTGTTTCTTCATTTGCAGGTCAAGAACCTTAGCCATTTGTAAGGACAGTCGTTCCTTCATGTGGAAAGGAGGTCTTCTATGCTAACCGTGTTTCTAGAGCCTACATTCCAAAGACCTCAGGCGTCTGACCCAAATGCTATTATATACACATGGTGTAACTGTTGAATCATTGAATGAGTGAATGAATCAATCAAGGTTATATGCTTATATATATAACTTCCTCCCTCTCCATTTTTTCCCTTTCCAACCAAACTGAAAAAGAAAATGGGTGGAGAATTTCTGTGTAACCTGAGAAGTCTTGGTCTTCACAGCCTGTGATGCAAATGGGGCATATTAATATTTAACGCTCCAAATGTAATAGTTTTTCTCTTCTTTCTGTTTGACTAGAGTTTCTTCTCTCCCAGTTTTTCTGCAGTTATCTGGTGAATCCACTTACCTTTTCAGGCTCTGATGTCTCCTTCATTGGAGCATCACCTGTTGTTTCCCTTCAAGGGAGCCCTGCATGCAAGCACATTTGTCCTCTTAGGGAGCTAGAGCTGCTCTGTTGTCTGTGGAAGAAGGTGACGTGAATGAGCCTCTTCCCAGCCCCGTGTTGTATGTCTTCTGGGCCTAATTGGTACTGCACACACCTGGCTCTTTCATGGCGTTCTTTGACACAGCTCCCTCAACATTTGGCGCTGACTCTCTTTTCCATCCACCTTCTGCAGTTTCTTTCTCAATTTGGTTGGAAAGCAAAAGAGTGAAGATGATGGAGGAGGTTATATGTCGTCCTATCTCTTTGACTGATTGATTTGTTCTTTCAACAATTTGACAGTTACACTATATGGGTCACACACGTAAGGTCTTTGGAATATAGGCTCTAGAAACACAGTTAGCATGGAAGACATCCTTTCCACATGAAGGAATGGTTATCCTTACTGATGACTAAGGTTCCTGACTTGCAAATGAAGAAACACTTTTCCAAGTCTCTTGGCACAGACAAGTGGAATTTAAAAGCCATTTATTATCACAGATATATTTTGAGAATGGCTAATGATTTTAGACGTTAATGCTAGCCATTTCGAATGAAAAATAAAAATGAGAAGTTAATCCTAATCTTAATTTAAACCACACTTAATTATTTTAGGAAAAAAAGTATGACATCATAATTTTATAATCACTGCTCCAAGGAGCTGGTTTACTCATTTAGCTTTAAATATCACTTTGATGCAGACCCAAATCCTATTTCCGGTCTTATCCTCTCTTCTGAGCTTAAGATCCAGACTTCCATATGGAACTTCATACTCGACATGCCTTCTTTAGGGGAAACAGCACAGAGTGAAATATGTTCGAAATTTGGTAGACAGACGTTATCTTATCATTTTCAGGATTTCTTCCCTTGTATTTGTTAAATCGACTGGAACTTCCAGAATAAAATGGAATAATGGCCTTCTGTCTCATGATTTTATTGACAATTCTATTAGTACTTTACTATTAGCACTAAGAATGCTATTTTGGGGCTGTTAGTAATATTTTGGCTATTGGCTGAAAATTAATATTTTTAAGGATGCTAAAAAGTGTTCTTGGTTTATTGAGCTTTTAAAAATTAACAGTAAATATTTTAAAATGCTCACTTTTAAATTTAGCACTATATGAGACCAGCAGATGGCCTAATGACTATGTTGCTGGACTCTTATGTAGTTGACTGCGGTTCAGGTCCTGGACCCAGTGGCTTAAACTAATGCTGGGCACATGTGTGTGCCCGCCCAAGATCCCAAGAGGAACGTGGAGGAGAAGGGATTGTGGTGTGGCCATTCACTCTGGGGGGTGATTTCTCGCTTTCCGTCTCACTGTCTCTCTCTTTCTTTCTGGTGATTGCATGTATCCTATAGCAACAACCTCTCCAAAATAAATAATAAATTTAGCACTATAGTAATATTTTTATTTATTTAGCACTATAATAATATTTTTTCTTATCTTTTATTGGTTTATTATATTCATATACTTCCTCACATAATTATCCTTGCATTTCTGGGAGAAAGACAATATGATTAAAATTCATTATTCCTTTTATATATCATTAGATTCAGTATATTAATATTTTATTTAGGATGTTTGCATTTATATTTTTTAGATGATTGCTCTGTGTTTTTTATGCATAGTCATTTTTCAGGTTTTTTAAAAGCAAAGTTATAATAGTTTTATAAAATTCATCTGAAAAGATATCTGTCTCTCTTTGTAGTTGGAAACATTTAAAATGGCATAAGATGATCAGTTTCTTGATATTTGAAATATTTTATTAAATCAGATGAGCCTAACACTTATGTGAAGTAATTTTTGGATACCTTTTCGAGTTTCTTCCATCATATTCCTGTGTTCAAGGTTTCTGCTTCTTGAGTCAGTTTGCTGATACTGTGTTTTAATCCTTAATGACTAATACTGTTGAGCATCTTCTCATGTGCTTACTGGCTATTAGTATATTTTCTCTGGATAGACACTTATTTAAATTATTTTTCTTTTTATTTTATTTTAATTTTTTTCTTTTAGTTTGTTATAGAGCATGAATACTTGCTGGAGAGGGACAGAGAGGGAGCGAAAGTGAAAAAGTACCTCTCTGGGGAATGACCATGCCACAATCGTTTCTCTTCCATTTTCCTCTTGGGATTTTGGGCATGCATGCATACACACCTGGCATGTTTTTCAAGCCACAGGGTCCAGGACTCGAACCATACAGTCAGCCATGTGGAGTTCAGCTGCCTTAACCATTACACTCTCTGGCTGGTCCTATTTGCCTATTTTAAAATGGTATCATTGTACCTTTTGTTATTGAGTTATAATAATTCTTTATATGTACTGAGTACGTGCCCCTATCAGATTTGTGATTTCTAAGTATTTTTTTCCAATTCTATAGGCTGTCTTTACTTTCTTGATAATATTCTTGGATGCACTGAATTTTTACATTTTGAAGTTCAACTTGTATACTTTTGTTGATGAGCTTTTGGTATTGGATCTAAGAAACTATCACCTAGCCTAAGTTCACAAAGATATGTTCCTTTGTTTTCTCTCAAAAGTTTTATAATTTTAGCTCCCACATTTGGACCTATAATTCATTTTGAGTTAACGTATGTGTATGTGAAGTGAGAGTCTAACTTCATTTTTTTCTAACTTGTCCCAGTGCCATATTTTGGAAAAATTATTCTTTCCTTATTATTTTAATTTTCTTTTTTAGAAGTTTTCCCTTGGAGCTCAATTAGGTAGTTTTTGTCTTTTAATTTTATTTAATATATTGGTATTACAGATGTATTTAGCCTTAGTTTTATAATATTATTTAAATTTGATTCTTTATGTTTTATCCCTCTGTATATAACCTTTTTAAAAAGTAATTTCCTGTGACCAGCAGGTGTAATGGCTACATTGGTGGACTCCCATGTAGTTGACCGTGGTTCGAGTCCCGGACCCTGTGGCTTAAACTCATGCCAGGCACATGTGCGTGCATGCCCAAGTCCTGAGAGGAGAATGGAGGAGAAGGGGTTGTGGCATAGCTGTACCCCCTGGAGGGTGATTTTTTGCTTTCTGTCTCTTTGTCTTTCTCTGTCTTTGTGGCTAGCACACACTCCCTATGGCAAAACCTCTCTAAAAAAAAATGATTTCCTTTCCTTCAAGTATACAGAGTAAGTGTTTATATCTTCTTACTGAGAGAAAGAAAATCTTGGAAATATTAATTTCATAGATCACATATATCAAAAGTCTCATTACTCATTTTCCTTGATCATAAACTGAATTAAGGGTAGGTATACAGTTCATCAGTATAAATGCAGATGGTTGTGTTATAAACCTTTTTACAGACAATGAAATATGATGGTAGATATCTAGAGGATTTGATTTTAAAATGAAATGTTTCATTTTAATGTATGATAATAATGATAAATATATTAGACATGTAAATATGATGCCACTGGTGATCTTGCTTAGCTTTATTTAGTAGCCAATTTTTTACTTACACAAAAATCATCCAATGATTGAAATATATATCGAAACCTGAGACTCAAAAAACTACATATAGACATAGAATAATATCATTTAACATCACCAGAATTCTCCAAGTCTAAACGAAATTCAAGCTCTTAGAATGTATTTTTCTCTTTTTACATTTTATTTTAGGAAGCATATTCTTTAATTGAGAAGATCGAAGCAGAACAAAATGCTCTATATTCATATCAGAAATATTTGGATAGTTCAAAAAGGAAGAAAAGCAGAATCCCCCCTCCACCTATACTGCTATCCCGAACTCATTGCTCTGTGACACTCAAACCCGCTCCATTTATTTCAGACGTTAAGGTATGGTGTCCATTATGATCTTTCCTCATGCAAAGCAACATAAATACCTTTATGACTACAACGATTCCTAGTTTATTGTTATTAGGATCTGAATAGTCTTATTTACAAGCACTGAACCCTGGAATAGTGTTCTAATATCTTATCTATGCTTCATTTCTTTATGACATTTTTCCCCCTTTATGCTATTTATTCTGTGCCCTGTATGTATAGCCATACTTTATTCAGTTACCCGGGGGGTGGGTATCATTCAAAAGTTCAGAGAACATGTATGTCATGAAAATGCTATGCATAGATTTGAAAAGATTTTTGTGACAAAATAGACTCGTACTTAAATTCTATTTTTCCATGAACTTTTCAAAGTCCTCTTGTATATTGGATTGTTGGGAAAGTCATGACGCATTTTTGCATAGAAAAGCCTAGAAAACCTAACATGATTAGGAGAAACAGCGCTCAAGATGGAGGCCTCACTTAAAGTGGAATGAGACATTTGGAGAGGTGGAAGTTACTCTTGCTGAGTGAGCCAGTGATTGAGAGGAAGCAGCAGAATGTGGAAGTTTGGAGGTGGTAAAGCTAAGATTTTGCCCAAAGCTCTTCCAAATAAATTTGAATTCTTTTATTGCACACAAATAGCAATGCCAACCATATGAAAAGTCATAAATCTTCATGTATTTATTACAGAATCAGCCTTTACTCCCATCCTTGATTCTTTGGCTAAATCTGACTAAAAGTTGAGATTTAGTTTCTTAAAGTCAGACAGATTTCAGCTTAACATTCTAGCCCCATCTCTCACTTGCGTGACCTTAGGAAAACAAAATACATTTTCTGAGTTTTTTTCTCTCATTTGCAAAGTATGTTTACTGTGAACATTAAATAATATGCAATCTTCTTGGCATTTTAGTTGGTGTTTCTCCATGCCTTGTGTTCAGTATATGTAATAAAATGTACTCGAGACCATGAATGAAGTTATAGATTGGGATTATATCATTCAACAATTTTCTTTTATAAATTCTGCCCGATAGCATTTGTTGAGTGTGTATAATCTGTCAAACTCTAAGTGAGATAATTGAGGTATAAAGATAAATATTGATAAAATCTAGTTTCATTATTTGAAGAGCTTCAGAGTAATGGGAGATGTCCATAAGTGAGAAATAATATAATCATAACCTGTTAAAATTGGAGCAATAGAAGTAATATTCATCTTATAACTAATTATATTATAATTAAATATATTTTTGCTATTGCTAGTAATTTTTAAACGATTATTTACTTAAATTTACTATTATTATTTAATTTGCTATAGGGCACATGTTTTCACCAGAGAGAGACAGAGAGAGAGGAAAAGTGAAAAAGCAGGCCACCAGGTCTGGGACCTGAACTGTGGTTGACTTTGTGGGAGTCTAGCACCTTAGCCCCCACACCACTTTCTGACCCCATATTGTTAATAGTTTTAAGGTTCAACTTTGGGTTTTTCCGAATCAGTTTAAGAATTAGTATGGGGGGTGGAACCAGCAGTTAGCGTAATGTCTATGCACTGAACTCCCATGTAGTCTACTGCGGTTCGCGTCCCGGACCTGGTGGCTTAAAACTCACGCCTGGTGCGTGTGTGTGCGTGTCCAAGATCCCAAGAGGAGAATGGAGAAGGGATTGCGGCGTAACCATCCCCCCTGGGGGGTGATTTCTTGCTTTCTGTCTCTATGTCTCTGTCTGTCTGGCAAGCGCACGTGCC